ACTGCCCCCTCAGCTCAAGACCCCCAGTGAGTAGACTACAGTTGTGGCACGCATTAAGAGCACTGCTAACATGATGCCGTGCAGACCTACCGGCAAGACCCTCTTTACCTCCTAGACAGTCCATCGTTCGCGAGCGATCACCTCAGCCTGTGCCAGCGCTGCCACAGAGGCAATCCTCAAACGACACCTCTCGAACAAACAGAGTGATCGCACCACCGCCACCGCGACGGTCAGCGTTGGACATGGGCTTCAACAATAAGGCCGCTACACCCCCACCTGTGCCTTCAACTCGCCCACCAGCAGTTACATCCGATTCAGCCCCGGCTCTTGGTGCACCACCACCTGTTCCCATGTCGTCCAGACCGAACCTCAGCGCCCTCATGGCTTCCAAGCCGAAACAAGGTGCTGCTCCATCAAGTTGCCTGAAGTGTCGGGACTTCTCAGGTCCAGACAATCACGCTGCGCAGTTCCCTCGTACCCAACTTCCCAACTCAGACGTGGGCTGGCTTGCTCATCAACTATGCTCACAGTTTCCTTCACCTACAGACAAGGCTCGAGCGATCTTCACCTGGCTTCATCACAACGTCGACTACGATGCTCACTCGTTCTTCAATAACACGGTCATGCCTACTACACCCGAAAAGACAATTGCATCAGGCCTGGCAGTATGCGAAGGTTATGCCGGTCTATTCGCTGCTCTGGCTCTGAAAGCTGGGTTGGAAGCTATGGTATGTTCCGGTGCGTGCAAGGGCTACGGTCATGCACCTTTGGAGCCTGGTCAGCCTATACCACCTTATGAATCAACACATGCCTGGAACGCTGTCAAGATCGATAACGGAGAATGGAAGCTTATTGATCCCTGTTGGGGAGCTGGACACCTAGGGTGTCGTAATAAGGGCGAAGGGTAAGCTTTTCGAGATGATACTTCTTCTGCAGTTCACCACCCGTCAATCAAGGGCTGACATCCACTAGATACGTACGAGCCTTCGCTCCGCAACATTTCATCATGGACAACAACGACTTCGGGTTGAAACACTACCCCGGAGAAGCCTCCCACCAATTCCGCACCGATGGACGCATCATGTCATACGAAGAGTTCATGCGACATGACGAGGGCGGGCGCCTCTTCCTCTGTGGAAATGGCATGAAGCTTCACGGCTTCGGCGAGCAAACCTTTGAACCATCACAAGCCAAGATCAAAGTAAACGACCCCTACGCACCAGCAGTAGTCCGGTTCCAAATGTCATACATCTGCCCGCACTGGGATCCCCAGATCAACGGAAAGGGTCCGCCCTACATTATGCTCCTAAGCGTTGCCGGCAGGGACGGCCGAAAGCCAGACTACAAGCCGTTGAATACCGACGGGCGCACTTGGTGGCTCGAATTCCCGCGCATTGACCTCGGTGCGCCGGGCCAGAAGATTTCGATTGTGGCCGTGACAGAATTTAATAAGAAGGACGCACGTGGGTTGAGCCTGGCTACTTGGAACAACAAGAGGGCGTACTCGTGTATGTTTGGCAGTGTGGCCCAGTGGGAGCTTGTTTGATGCGGAGCTGGGAATGTCGCGTTATCAGTCGAGGCGCACGCGACTTGCGCCTCGTGGTTGACGGAGCGCGATGACATGGAACGATTGTATGGATACCCTGGACTTTTTGATTTGCTTTTAGGTGATGAGGCGGGCTTAGTTAGATGAATACGCGTAATGAACATGAGTTATTCTTCCTTCTGTCTCCTTTCCAAGTGAACGTCATTCAAGGGAAAGCGGAGCGCGTGCCTATCTAGATACTTTAACAGAGAGAAGATACACCCGAAGTCTAGGTAGCTCTTACACATTCCAAAAGATCCAGCATCTCAAGCTCTTGTAGTCTATACCCCCTATTCGCTTTTGTTTGTTTTCTTCCATGTGCAGGGTACCTTGGCGCAACTTGTAACCGGGTGTCCCTTCCCAGGTTTTATGCTGAGCATGTGAAGACGGCCGTTGAGGCTAGACTGTGGCTGACCACTGCGTTAGCGCGAAAGCACGACCCGCGAAATAGTTAGGTTGGGGTTACAACGGACTCGGGATCACCGCTCCACCTCCAACACGTCCGATCTACCGCAAACATGGCGAGCGCTTTCGTCGGATTGTCGGTCGCGGTGACGCTGCGGGCTCCCCCAGGTGCTGTCGTCGAGGGTGTGGTCAGCGCTGTGGACCAGCAGACAGCTACACTCGTTCTCCAAGATGGTACACCGCAGCCAGAATTCGCGAATATGGGCATACGCTGACGTCTGCAGTCTTCTTCCCCAACTCCGGTCACCGTGTCGCTTCCTACACGGTAGAGGGACAAATGATTGCAGACATCAAGGTCAATCCGTCGCCGCCCGCTCCTCCCCAACCTCTGCCCACGCGATCAGGCCCGCAGGCATACTCACACTCGCAGTATCCTCAGAGCCATGCCCAGCGCCAGTCGCAGCATATGGGCCAACAAGTTCCGCATCTTGTTAGCCAGCCGTCCGGGATCCCGCCTGCAGGCGCACCTGCCTACCAGAATGCTCGTCAAGCGCCTCGCCAGACCGCTCCTCAGCCAGCTCAAGCCGCGCCTTTTGTCGATCCTGCAATTCTCAGTATGGGAAAGCGCACCTCTACCGCTCCTATCTTAGGTGGTCCCGTTTCCGCAACCCCTCAGGAAGCTCCTGCGACGCCTATAAAACCTGTGGCTGCTGCGAGCGCGGCGGCTGTACCGAAGAACACGTCCTCGTTTGCAGGCCATGCGAAGCAACACAACGTCCGAAAGCCGAGTGCTGCGACTTTGGAAGGTCCATTCTCGTCCCTGGATATTGCAGATGCTGAGGAGGCGGACAGTGAGGCGCGGACAGCACAGGTGAATGCGCGAAGGGCAAGCATCACCAAGACGAGGACCGGCAAGCCTATGGATGACCCCAGCCCGCAGAAGAACGACGACAATGGCAAGAAGACTCGAAGAGGGGGCAAGTCTCGTAAGAAGGAACTTGCCGCTCAAGAGAGGAAGAACGGTGATGTTGAGGCGGTCAAGAAAGGGTATGTGGGATTTTGAACATCAGGTCTTCTGTCGCATGTCCAAGAGCTAACCTCTACTAGCAAAGGCAATGGTTGGAGAAACACTCCCATGCTGCAAGCCGCCGAACAGTCCCAAACGAGAACTCCTGGCGTCATTGGCGGCAGAGTCGGTCTCGCAGCGGCGAACGCGTCGAATCGCAAAACGAAACGGCAACAGGCGCTCGAAGCTACGAACGGCTGGGCTACAGAAGATGCGACCGATATTCAGGACATGCCTGAATTCGACTTCCAGAGTAACCTCTCGAAGTTTGACAAGCGAACAGTGTTCAATCAGATTAGGAATGAGGACACCACTGCAGACGAGGACCGTCTGGTCAGCTTCAATCGCTTGGCAAGACCTGGTACACACGGCGGAAAGAACCTTCATCCTACTGAAAACGTGTTGGATCGGAAGCTGAAAAGCACGACCAACACAAGCTCAGAGGAGGAAGAGGAGGACTTTGGCAGCGGACGTAACTCTAGACGGGCAATGTCCAGGGCTTCAGTCAAGATGGCGCCAACAAGGCAAGGCAGCGTACAGGCTGACATGGATATGATGGGCTCAGGCGTCTTGCCGCGCACTAACCGTTCGTTCATCAACCGACCCTACACGTCCTCACATGCTACTGGCAGCCCTAGGCCAGGGCGCGTTGCTTCACCACCAGAATCACCTCTGGAGTCTAGCGCTAAGGGCTGCTTACGACTGGTGTCTAACAACCGCAAGTGTTTCGCTATTACTCCCGGCGCTATGCTCGCAGTTGAAGAAACTGCCGAGGTGGACTTTGGCCTCAACGAAGACATCATGGCAGAGAACTCAGGACGAGGTATCGCAGAAGTTGCTCTGACCGCTATAAATCCCGGCGGCATGCGTCTCTCACGTGCCAATCCAAACGCCAACCCCGTCATCGTAGTCCTCGCAGGCAACCATCGCGGAGGTGCACGCGCCGTAGCAGCAGCACGACACCTCGCCCAACGCGGGCCGAAAGTCATGGTCGCCCTTCTCGGCTTCGAACGCAACGCAGACTGGGATAAGGACATCCGCCGCCAAGTCGAGCTCTTCCGCAAATTCGGCGGCACTGTCCGCTCCTGGAATGCGACTGAAGAAGCCCTAAAGCGTCTACAAGCACCACCCGAACTTATTATTGATGCTCTACTCGGCCGCCACAAAGAATTCGAAGCCCTTGGCGACCAAGACCAACGCGTAGTTCTGAACATTGTAGGCTGGGCCAACAAATCGCGCGCCGCCTGCCTCGCTGTCGAAACACCCTCTGGCGTCGGTGGCTCAACAGGCGAAGTCTCCATCTTGGAAGGCGAGCCCCTCGAAGTCCGCGCAAAGTATATTGTTTGTCTCGGTGCGCCAAGGACTGGTCTTGTCAAAGCCCTTCAAAACGGCTCCGGACGCGATCCGCAGTGGCTCATCTGGATCGTGGATATTGGCGTTAATCGTCCCTGGCGTAACGCTGGTATCAGTGGCGGTAAAGGCATCAAGTTCGGCGAGCAATGGGTTGTGCAGGCTGTTTTTGAGGAGCCCGGCGGTATACCGGGGGCTTAGGATACCGAGGTATTACCAGCTGAAGAAAAAGAAGAAGTCGAGCGATCCCCAGCAGAGCGAGAGCGAAGACGGAAGCATTACTTTGCGACGCAAACCAAAAAGCTTATGGGGAAACAGTGGAGGAGTGGTTTTGACTGAGTGTGGCGCGTGATGGAGCGGGTTGTTTTTGCATTGCGTGGGCGTTTGAATCGGTGGGGCTTTGGATGCTCTATTCCTTTGCTTTTGGGTTGGGGATAGGATGAATTAACGGATTATGGGATGGGATGGAATGGGGATACCAAAAGCTAGATATCGTTGAGTAGGGTGTTCTCGAGAGGCAGTGGTGTGCGTGGATAGCATGCCACGGTAATACATTACTTTGAAGAATTGTGTGTCCGTCATTTATGTGAGAAACTACGCGTGCCACGACCTAGTTTTGTCGTCCAACCCAGTGACAAACCCAAGCACCCTCCTCACGAGATCCTGGACTACCTCCTCCGGATCCCCATCAAGATTATGATGTGCACCCGGTATCACACCACCATCTTCATCATCGACAACACCGCCGCCTTCTCGTATTATCCTCGTCCAGCGCTGGAGTAGAGCTGCTCGGTCGATGCTGGCGGGGACGTAGGGGTCGTCGGAGCCGAGGAGGAAGCAGACGGGTGTTGTTGGTGGTATGCGGCCGAATGTTGTTGCGAAGTGTTCGTCGGATAGGTCGCTGGAGAAGTAGTCGTCGTCGCCGCCTTTGGCGAGGAGGGAGTATGCGCGGTAGGCGTTTAGGGGACCGCCCATGTCTTTGAAGACGGGATTGCTTTCTGGCGACAGGACTTCCTCCCCCTTCCCCGTGTGGACCATGACCTTCGCCGTCGCAATCGCGTTGTCGAGCTGTTTTCTCCTCTCCCCTTCTTTGTAGTAGTCTTCCCAAGCTTCCCTATCACTGACACCACCCTGCAGTATTATGCCATCTACTTTCTCCTTCGCCTCATTTCCTTTCCCCAGTAAATATTCCATGATATCTTGACACCCCGTCGAATGTCCCATGAGCACAATCTTCTTCCCCGGTCTCAATTTCTTGAAGTATGCCACGCATTCCCCGAGTTCAGTCGCGTCGCGCGCGAGGCTACCGGTGCCCCAGCCGCTGTAGGAGGAGGTGAGGAGGACTTCGGCGAGGGACCAGGTTGGTGGGAGGGAGGCGGCGATAGAGGCAGGGTAAGGTACGGTGAGGAGGCCGTCTGTTAGACCGCCTATCCAGAGGATGGTGTTGTAGGAGGACGAAGTGTGTGTAGAGGCGTGTTCGAAGGCGATGAGGCCTTTGGTGTATTTGTGGGCGGTGCCTGGGTGCGCCATCTTCGCGATGTGTCCCTGTTGCAGAAGATAGAACGCGGCGAATTGAGTCGCAAGGTGAGATTTTCGAAGCTGTCGGACGCGACGTTGGAATTTGGAGATGGAATGACTGGCGTGAGGACGCGATGGCCTGGCGCTGAAGCTCGACGCGACGGGTTGGTGGGGGTGTAGATCAGAATCTTATCAGATGGTGGGGTAGCTTCGAAGCGTCTACGCCGATAATACTCCGCGAGCCCCGACCTTGGCAGGCGATGCACCTAGCTCTTGCTTTCCCACTCTCATCGTGGCATTTAATCCACATCAAGCCGAACCCAAGTCGCCTTGATCTTTCGTGACTTTCAATTGCCGCTTTCGAAGATGCGCTCTCCATGTCGGATCGTCTTCGTTTGTCAGTTTGCCCAAGTTGCGTATAATATCTATCGTCAGTCCTGAATTCTCTGCTGCTGCTCTTGGATTGTGAGGCGAAGCACCCCAAAATCTGCCAAAGTATTCGGTTCGTACCATCGTTTTACAGTGCTCGCAATGCATGTGATGTGGTTTGTGCCGCTTTCCTGCTTTGAAGGCTCTGGACTCAGCATCGACAAGCCGGTCTATGGTGCTTTCCTCGTAGGTTTGCATGTGAAGACATGCCGTAAAATCAAGTTTTTGTAGGGCTGCACGCGCTTTTGTATGTAAATACGAGCTTTTTGCTTTCGAAAAGCCCATGGTCATGCCACTTCGCATGATATAGTCTCCAGACGTCTGATCGTATGTGACGTCACAAATGGTGAGGTGGATGTGGCTTTTTTTCAACTCTTTTTCGCAAGTATAGCACTGGAGATCTACGTACATGGCGTGTCTACCCCCAAGAGATACAGCTCTTTCTACCTTAGCTCTCAAGTAGTCCAGAGAGTAAGATCTGTGCGAGCACAGCTTGAATGTAGAGGAACATTTGCGTTCCTGCCGTGGGCGACAGAGCATTTTCCCGATGAAGCGCGTATCCTTATGCACATCTGCACAATAAACGCACCAGATCCCCGGTCGTTTGTGGGCTTCCCTGTAGAAGTCGTCTCTCAGAAGCCGAAGATAGACGTCGATCTTGGTATCGCCGACTTTATCTTCTGGGACAGCAATGGATGGGAAAGTTTCGAGGAACTTGGCGCCTGACAGCGCAAAGCAAGTTTTCTCGGTATGATCCAAGTACCCCCGAATATGGGCTAGGACCTCGTAGGGAAGGGCATATAGTGGACTTCTCTTTGCGTTGAATTTGTAACGTCTCTCAGCGCACGAAATGGAGGATTCCAGCTGAGACATGATGGTTGAGGTAGGCGAGTAGTGAATGTACGTGTGAAGCTACATTAGATACTGAGATTCTTGCAGGTGTGTGCGAGTTCATGTGGCTCCGCACAAACTTCGTGGTAGCGAAGGTACCATAGCCAGTCGACGGCTGAGGCACTCAATGGTGTGTGCCATCTACTCACACTCTGGATACTGCTCCGTAGCTGCAATAGCGACCTAGTGGCAAGAATGAGTGCGTCTCACCATCTACTCCATAAACGCAAGGGCTTTGTGCCCAGTTGACGATGATCCCGGCGGCAATCGGTCATTCATGCCCAAAGTCGTATTGTTGGGTAATGAGCTCTGGGCGCGTAGGTGAGGTCCGATCGTCGAATGCCGAGAGCGAAAAAGCAAGCATGGTCATATACAAGAACTCCAGTCTCCCGGACCTGTTCCGTATGAAGCTCGTCGTAGTCGTCAAAGCTTGGTGTAGGAGTGGTCGGAAGACCGAAACTCGGTACGGCATCGCCCAGAGAAGGAAGCCGGCAGCTATGCTTGCTGACATCTCGGGGTTCGGGGGAAGGAGCGACCCCACAGAAACGCAAAGCTACCCCTCACGCATCTGCGCAACCCCACTTAGAGCACTGGAGCTCTCCAAATGCCTGGTAACAAGACGGAACACGGACGCGTTTCCGTGTGGCCACAGACTATGTCGGCACATGTCAAATGACACGAAGGAATGGTGGAATGATTGCTTGTCGTCGGGTCGGGTATTGAAGGTTTCTTGGTCTTTCGTCATGCTACTTTTGCGATTTCCATCCGCTTTGTGTGCTGCCATTCTACACCAATTCGCGCACTCCATTAAGCTGGACATATAGTAATCACAATGTCATGTATGCATTCCCATCAAAACCTATGCTATCAGATAGTTAACGTACTCAGCGAGACACTTCATCCACGACCCGACACACCTCGTCAACACCGCGCTACTCAGCATCCCTCAGACGAACCCATCCGTGCAATGCGACATCAACAACAAGATCGTCTACCGCAAGAATGGTGCATCGCAAGTCAGCATAGTTTCTGGAGGTGGTAGTGGTCACGAGCCTTCATTCGCATCGTTTGTCGGCGCGGGCCTTTTATCCGGAGCAGTCGCAGGTACCATCTTCGCTTCGCCAAGTGCAGAGCAGGTGCGAAGATGTATCTTGCATCGCATTCAGAAAGACAAGGGCGTCCTCGTGATTGTAATGAACTACACTGGCGATGTGCTGAACTTCGGCATGGCGGTGGAGAAAGCGCGCGCTGCTGGTATTGAAGTCGACATGGTGGTAGTCGGCGACGATGCGGGTGTAGGGCGTGCGAAAGGAGGTAAGGTCGGACGCAGAGGTATTGCGGGAACAGTGCTTGTCCAGAAGATTGCCGGTGCGCTTGCTGCTAAAGGGTATGCACCACACCAACATCATGCCTATAAGGAAGCTGACATCATTGTAGAGCGAATCTCAAAGATGTAACGCAGATGGCCCAGCTCGTCGCAGACAACACCGTCTCGATCGGCTCTTCACTGGCTCACGTTCACGTGCCAGGTCGCCGAGAGGCAGAGGAAGACGAGCTGGCTGAAGGCCTAGTCGAGATTGGAATGGGCATCCATAATGAAGCCGGTTCAGAGCGCAAGAAGATCGATCTACCTGGTCTCGTAAAGACGATGCTCTCGCACTGCTTAGACGTAGCCGATCAGGACCGAAGCTTCTCCAAGATCACCAGCAAGGACGATGTGGTGCTACTGGTCAACAACCTGGGAGGTGTCAGTCCACTCGAGCTAAGCGGAATCACGAACGAAGTCGTCGAGCAATTGGCAGACAGCTTTAAGATCAAGCCAGTTCGTATTCTAGCTGGTACTTTCATGACCAGTTTGAACGGACTGGGCTTCTCTATCAGCTTGCTTAGAGTCGCCGATGCTTCCATGCTCGAGCTGCTCGATGCGCCTGCTGAGGCGAGTGGCTGGTCTGCAGCGATTAGTAGCAGTACGTGGGCAAGACGTGGAGAGGCGAAGAAGAACGAGGAGCAGGTAGACGAAGAGGATATCCAGCCAAGTGATCTAAGAGGTAAGTACCCGCAGGGCTGTGTATGACACCTGCTGACTTGAGTAGTCAACTATGCTCAGGCCAAGTCAACCTTGACAGTTGCGCTGAACAGACTCATCAAGGCTGAGCCGGACGTCACCCGTTTCGACACAATAGTTGGAGATGGCGATTGCGGAATCGGACTCAAGCGTGGTGCAGAAGGTAGGCTATCATCACGTGTGCATTGATGCCTGGCGCTGACACCCAACAGCAATTCTCAAGATGCTCGAAACGGCAAAGGAGACAGATGATCTGCTGATCCTCATGAATCACATCATTCAAGTGGTGGAACTGGCTATGGACGGCACGTCAGGTGCAATCTACGCCATCTTCTTGAATGCGCTGGCGCATGGATTGCGACAAAATGCGCCATCGTCGCCACAGCCTGTCACGCCCGCAATCTGGGCCAAGGCCCTTGACTCATCGCTCAAAGCACTCGGCAAATACACGCCTGCCAAACCCGGTGACCGAACGCTGATGGATGCCCTCTATCCGTTCGTCGAGACGCTGTCTAAGACGGAAAGTATCGACAAAGCGGCTGCGGCGGCACAAGGTGGCGCGCAGGGGACGAAGGGTATGAAAGCGAGCTTGGGGCGAACGGTCTACGTTGGAGGCGAGGGTTTCCAAGAGGTTCCAGACCCTGGCGCGCATGGCCTCGCGGAGCTCCTTCTGGGCCTGAGTGACGGGTTGAAGAAGTAGAAGTTGGGGTATCGTTGTTTGATTCGTTCGGTGTTCCTCGCCGATTTCGCGACGGTTATGTAACTTTTAATTCATTCCAACTCCATTTCGTGCGCTCGATCTGGCGCTACCGTCCCAAATGCCCAGTGCTTCCAAGCTCTTATGATAGTAGAACAAGAATGACCGAGTCGCCGCGTAGGAACCTATAGAAGTCAGCGCATGCGCACATGTAGAGTGTGATATGAACGCACAGCTTAGAGATGAAACGATCCTTGTTGACCTTCCTTCCGTAGCTGCCGTTGGCTAACCGTGGAGTCTCAGTCCACATCTCTTTCGCGTTCTCGAGAACCATGTTGCAATGACGGTCGAAAGCCTTGACACGTGCGAGGATCTTGCGGTTGTTTCGGCACGAGATCAGGACTTGTGTGCGCGAGCGGACGGCGGTCTGGAGGATGGAGAGGGGCCCGGTTGTGAGCTCATGTTCTTCGACCTGAGCAACTTCGTACTCGCTAGGCAGCAATGTCAGTACAGGAATTGCTGTGGATTGGATGGTGTACGTACGTCAACTCCGAACGCGGCTTGGATAGAAGCTCTCTGCGCAAGGTTAGCTCATATAGCGGTGAATGTGCTAGCAGTAATACATACTGGATCTTTGCGTCCACCATGGTGTCAAATTGTGCAAGGTAGCAGGGGGAGATTTGCTATATGGGGTCGGAACTGTTACAGGTTAACTTTCCAGCTCTCGAGCTTCTTCTGCCTGCGAATTTTGATATACGCTGCTCAGGGAAGTAGCGCGCAAGGATGGGACCGCGCAAAAGATATGCACAGACCAGGAGCGGAAAGACTGACCTAGTTTTAGAAAGGAGGAACACCACGGCAACGCGCTTGGATGAGGTGGATCGGTCGGCGACGATATGAGGCAGGGCGATGAAGTGAGCGAGCTTGGCAGAATCGGATCTGGAGCTACACTTTATCCGCGGTTGAAGCCAATCAACGCGTCGGGAGTGGGGCTGAAACTTTAGCATGGAAGGTGCGTCACGCGTCTTTGTCCTCCCCGCGTTAGCGCGAAGCGGGTAGCGTCAAACCTCCGAGCTCGTGCATGCAACTTCACTTTCACCACACGACCTCTTTCACGACGCCCTCTACGTTCCTTCTCTCTGCCACTTTACGCGTGCTGTTGCCTAATTCGGAATCTTCTGGACGCGACAGTATTTAAAGACCCGTTTACCCCGCCAATTCGTCTTCTTGTCGCTTTTAGTCTCGCTTCTTAGTTCACCTCGAAACGCGTTCGCGATGATCGCACGCCAGCCACCGATCGCGATATAACATAGACCACCCCGTCGCCCCCGACAACCTTCTTCTCTCTTCTTCATCACGGCCCGCCTATCCTTTGTCAATCTCATAGGCAGCCATGTCGACGCCCTCAAGTACCACGCCGGATCCTGGTGCGATGCAGCACGCGCCCACACCGTCCGCTGCCGAGGAGAGCACAATGGACGAAATACCGCGCAGGCAAATGCGAGGCAAGCACATCTGCTCATTCATCACGACTTGATCTAACATAGCTCCATCACAGTCAAGGTACTCTACACATTCGATGATCAGAACAAGTCAAACTGCCTGGCCCGTCTGCCAAGCGTGCTGAACGTGCCTGTCGTGTCGCTGGACGAAACCACCGAAGTGGGAGTCATCGAACTCAAGACCTGCATTCAGGCTATTGTCACTGCAAGGTGAGCCGACTCCTCCGCTTATTGGTTAATTGAAATAGCTTGCTCACTGTCACAGCCCCGAGCTCGTAGCCAAACTAGGCCACGATTACACCGTATACGCTTACGACTTCTCCGAGTACGAAACGCCGCTGGTTGGTCAGGGCATGCTATCATGGATCCTCGCTTCAGCATCGCCGACTCCCAATGCCCCCGCCAAAGATTCCCAAACCATGGTCACTGGTCGCGTGTGCAAGAACATTCTTGGCATCTTCTCGAACGGAATCAAGGAAACCCTGGAGGTCAAACTTAAGCTGGTGCCTGTTCCAACATGCATGCAAAAGGAATATGTCGAGAACATGGAGCGGTACCACAGCCTCAGTCAGCTGATGCCTGAAGGGTTCGACTACAACGCCTGGTCCGACTTTCTCAAGGAGAACCCTGCATTGGGTCACCTGGCCCAACCCAGTCCATACCCCGCACAGCCTTCGCCACGTCCTTCCATTGGTGGTGTTGAGCCCTTCCACCAAATGCTTACCCGCCAAAGTCCGTCACAAGAGCCACCCCGGAACGACTCCTTTTACGATCAGTCGAACATGTCGTTCATGTCTCAGCCGACTAGGGCTTCCAGTCCTGCTATGAGCACTCTCTCATTCCATCACTATCAGTACAACCCACCCTCCCGGCCAGCGTCACGGACCTCTGTCAGAAGTGAAGGTGCCCAGCCGACCCAGCAATTCCAGTTTAGCGATCCTTATGTTATCGAGCCACAGGAAGACGGACCTCCGAAGAAGAGGGCACGGATCACACAGACCACGAGACCGAGAAATACACCGCTCAATGCTCACAATGATTCGCTGCGCGTTACAGCGAGCACAGCGGCATCCGTCCGCCTACTCAAGCCTTCTCTCAGCAATTCAGGAGCCGCCTCAGATATGGTGCCCCGTGCGCCAACGCCTCGCCCCGGTGAAAAGTTCAGTCAACGAGGATCACGCCGCCCACCTGCCCCTAGTGCTTTAAGACATGGATCCATGGATGGAGGACGACCATACGTGTCTCCGTATGAGAGTAGCGTCTTCTCAGACAATGCGATGGAGTCGGCAGATGAAAGAGATGGAAGCCCAGGAGATACTCCGATGCCGTCATCCCCACCAATCGCACCAGTCCGAACCACATCGCCCGATGCCTCAAGCCCCGACCTGCCAACACAACCTCCAAACGATTCCGGTTTCGTTAGCGACATGCCGGCTAGTCGAGACGGCGATGGTATGGACTTCGAAAAGCTTTGGAATGTACAATCCCAGGACCATCGTCGCGAATCTGTCACACAGCCAGTGACTCAAAGTATTGAGATGGACATGACTGCTCATACTTTTGACTTCGACACCATGGACCAGGATATCTTCAACTCGGTTTATTTCCAAGGCAACGACGCGAATGATGACAGCGATTTGATCGCGAGGCTGTCGATGGTACAGCAGGATGACAACCTCGGGGATAAAAATGCTTTACAGAAGTCACGAGCTACGGTATCAACTGCCGGTTCGCCTGATGGCATGATGTCACATATCTCTCCGACTGCCGAGAGCGAAGCGCAAGTTTACAGTCGTTCCGCCACCCCAAATCTCCCACCGAAGCAGACAAAGCCGTCCAAGCCAAGAGGACTTCCCAGGTCACATACATGGTCTGGGGCGGAACCCATGTCTGATGCGCCCACGCCCTCCGAGTGTGGCTACCCACGAAGTGGATCCGGCGCGAAGAGGAAGAGGGTCATCAAAGACAGACTGGACGCGGCTATTCGGAAAGGTGAAATGCCACCACATTGTGTAAACTGCGGGGAAATCGACACAGTCACATGGCGAAAGGCTTACACACGCGTGGAGAACGGCACACCCAAGGACATTGAGCTGTCCACCGATACTGCTAGCACTGACATCATCGCATACGAAGTGATTGAATCATCCTCTGAGGATGCTGAGCCGAAGTACCGTATCTTCAAGAACAACTTGACGCGCGAAGACAAGGACATCATGGCTGCGAAGTCTTCTGAGGCATTTGAAGAACTCAACCTCTGTAACCCGTGCGGACTCTGGCTTATCAAGAAGTTTTCGATGAGGCCGCAGAAGGTATGGGATCGCGCTGCGCGCCTTGCCAACCGCAAGAGGCAGCAGAAGGCGGGGTCACGCTCCAAGTCTATGACTGGTGGTGATGATCTCATGTCCGACGCCATTATGCCGGAGTCTGACGCTGCTATGCCAGCTGAGCAAGATCAAGCTGCTTCATCTATTGACAGGCCCGTTGATGGAACAATGGCACCGCCAGCTGTCGCACCCAGCAGAGGTGAGCTCGACCCTGAAGAAGCCAAAGCTGCCTTCGAGCGAGCCATTGAGTCAAGCCCCGCTGGCGTTAGAGGGAGCAAAACCTCTCCCATTGACATTGACCAAGATCTCACGCCAAAGCCCACAAGGCGCCTACTTTTCCCGTCGCCAAGGAAGCAAGGTCGGCGTAAGACTCTGGCTGACCCACCTCCAGCTCCCGTCGCTGCGACTCCCATTGCCACCCCAATGTATATTCCTGACGACGACGCTCCCAAGAAGCCCCGTTGCCAAAGATGCAAGGAGCTCAAGAGAGGCTGTGACCGCGAACGACCATGTGGCCGCTGCGCGAATGCTGGTATCGGCCATGACGGCTGCATTCCGTGTGAGTCAAAGACGATGTGGTACTTCAAGCAGCCAGTGGCCCAAGTGGCTATTGTTGATCAAGAAAATCCGGATAAGGAGAACTGCCCACCACCTCCTGCCGCAGAGACAGACGATCTTGCCCACCTTTTCGAAGACCCTGCTTCTCGGAAACCTACGCCGAAGAGCACGCCTAAGAGGGACCAGATCGCCCAAGATCCTCTAAAGACCCCTACTCCAAGCACGCGCAAACGTGTTGCTCTGACGCCGAGACGAGGTGCAGGGAACGGAGATGCGCCTTCAACGCCATCCCGCAATATCCTGAGTCCTCGTGTCACCCGTTCGACAACAGCTGCACCTGACACACCGTTCACCCGTCAGCTCAATGCACATCTATCCGACCACCCGATCTCGTCGCCTTCACAGACTATCGACTTCTCAGCCTTTCCCACATTTACAACACCCGGTCGCAGTGATGCTCAGTTTAGCGAGTTCCTGGCTGATGACTTTCTGTCTAGTGACATGCCTGTGAGCAGCTCGCCGTCGAAGAACGGCTCACTGGGACTGGGCTTTGACCTCTACGAAGACCCCAACACTTCTACTGTGGGCCTGTGGAGTGGCGATAACATATTCGACAACGAGACCATGATGTTGGACATGGAAAACGGCTCTAAACGCGGTAGTGTTGACGGAAATGCCGGTCCGGATGCCTCTGCATTACTCAAGATGAATGTCGGTGGTATGACTGTCGACTTCGCCGCCATGATCGAGGAAGTTGTCGGCGCAGCCAACAAGGAGGCAGATATCAACGAAGTCACGAACAAAATCCTAGACGCTAGTATCAAGCTTGAGCCCAAGAGCCCAGAGGACGAGAGGGAGGATATGGGGAAAACACCCGAAGAGCCCACGGTTTGAGGCTGAGGGACATTCACGGCCTTCACGATTCTGCATACCCCTTGTCACACTTTGTGACTTTACTGGCGTTTAGCGATTTGCAATAACACGGCACGAACACACGAGGAATGATTTGATTTTTGTATACTAGTCCATAGATGGTTCAGCAAGCCTTGCCTCAAGCAGGCAGGCTGCGAACGAGCAACGAGCGTGGAACGCGCGTCTTCATATACCCAATGAATACTTTAGATTAGACACTCTTCCTCTTCTTCTCTTTCTTTCTTTGACACGGGACTTCATCTCTCTAGCGGAGTGTACATGTCACCTGAACTGCTGGCTTGCTTGGTGCGAGGGCAGAACCGAATAGTCACCCCTTGTACTTCGAAAGCATTCTCAACCTCTTTGCAAACCTTGGAAAACGCCCCCCACAACTTCGATTCATGTGTGGTGTGTCTCAACACACGTACGTCTTTAAGTAGTGGATACTTTTGCGCACAGTCCATAGCTAGACTCATAAGTGCAGCCTTCGGACACCTAAAGTACGGCCATGTGGGTTCGTACATGTCGAGGTCAAGCCGACGTATGCCAGGCGGAAGTGAGTTGAAGATTTCGTGTTGTTGCCGGTCCGGGTTCGTCGTTTCGTCGCGATACAGAGTTACTATATCGGTTCTGAGGTACTTAAGGTTGCGGACTTGTTGCAATCGTAGGCATCCTGCCGCAGCTGTGTTGTATATGTTGGGCTCGTGCGATAGGTTGGTCTGTAGAGTGAGGCTCTCCAACGAGTTGGAATGCTCCATGATAGCCCCGTTTAGGGCAGGATAGTGTAACGCTGGTACTCCGTATCCGTTGTGTTCGTAGATGGCTCTGCTGATTGCCAAGGGGTCGGTTCTGGTTCCGGTGAATGTCAAGCTGAAGTCTTTGAGATTCTTGATGCAGCGCAGGATCATGGCGACATGCTTCGAGTGGATAGCGCTATTCTCGATGTGAAGATACTCGATAGGTGAGCTTCGAGGGGGCATCCTTGCCAGCTGTGCGTATCGTGCCAGGGAAGGATTCATCGGTCTCACAACTCCATATTTGTATATGTCTTTATCCACGAGCTCGCCTTTGAAGCTCAGTGTACGTAGAGATGGTAATTGAAGAACACAAAAAAGCGCTTCCAAGTCCATGTCTTGATGGCCAAATCGTAGCGTACGTATGTTGGCGAAGCGCTCGATGAGTCCGCGATCGGGGTTTCGCCACAGCGTGGGCCAGAAAGATGACCCATATGCGCCGTCGCTCATGCGAAATCGGAGATCCGTGTCCATAATTTCCAAGGCTTCTAGCCGTGGAGTGAGCAGCAAGACTAGAGTCAGTGCAGCACATTTATCCCTCCAGTCGCCAGAAACCCAGAACAACGGGATTTTGGAAATGTTGAATTTCCGTGCGAGATTTGGTGCACTGATAGTATTTGGCAGCGTTCTGTACCATTCTGGAGTTTCGCTTGGCTTTTTGTCCCAGATGACTCGCTTGATGTGCGAGACTAGAGTGGGATCGTCCTCTAGACGCTGAACGAGCTTTCTGCAATGAAAGTGATCAGTCTTGATAGTTTTGTAGAGGTAAGACTCTGTGAGTCGGTTGAACTGGCGGCTTGTAGCGGATAGAGCGAGAAGAGTCTGCATGGTGCCGGGGACGTATTCTTCATCGATCCCGGAGCCGACTTCGTTTAGAATTCCGCAAAGGAGTTCTTCGGGGAAATCGCTCAGGCTGCACTTGGACAGCTTGGAGTTCGACATGATGAAAGAACAGGGGTTCTGTTCTTGACTGCTTGAGATCGCGGATGTATTATGTGAGTTTTGCTTAGTGGTGGTGACCGAGAGAGGGGTTTGTGAGTTGTGAGATGAATAGGTATGAAGTAGAAGTAGAGAGTATTTGTAGGAAAAGTCTCTTATAAAGTCATCACATAAATTTCTGCTCGCATGACTCACATTGATATTCAAACTTTGGTTTGTGTGGTTGGATGTCAAACTGCCGTCTTCTTACTGGTAGTTTGAAGTTCCTATGGAAGCGATGAGGGAAATGTCGAGCATGAACAGAGTGCGCTCTTAGCTCAGACTGCGGTCTAGTCCTAGTCTAGGCTAGTTATTCCAAATGTACTCTAGTATACGGTATGATTGAGATAGCTTTAATGTTGTTCGCTAGAGTGGTTTGTGTGTCACCGCAGTACCGTGGTTGTGGGAAAGGTCCACCGTGCTGGTCTAGCACGAAATTCCATACGAATGGCAAGATGGTGTTCATCGCAGACGCCTAATTTTCGTCAGTCAACCACAGTACATCCTGATACAGGTTGCAGGGTGTGTAGGTAAAGTATGCCCGCACGCTGACCTAGGAAAAACCTGAACACCCTAGAGCCTACGTTGACGTTGGGCCACCCACATTGCAGGTCTTTGTCTTGATGTAGTCCGCAGGCCTGTTTAGTTTTTTCTTTCTTGTATGAGTGCCCAGGTGCCCGGGCAGATCGAACCACGTGATGGCGTTGCCTAATCGCGTTTGGTGACGTAAGTCTTGGCAGGGTATGTGGAGCCTTCCAAGGTTGCGCTCACAGACCTTAATCACGAAACACAGTTTAAAAGTTGGCACACGCGGGAAACACTTCAAGTAACCTTGTTATGATTCATTCTTTTTGTTCGAGCGATGGCCACGAACTAGGCTCTCTATCAAATGCGCTGGAAAACACACAATGCTACCGTCATTCGTTCATCATCACAACCTTAGTCTCAGCTTACTGCGATGACCCACCGGAGATGGTCAGCACTTGACCGTTGACCCAGCCACCGTCCGCTGATGCGAGGAAAGCGACGACCCTCGCAACATCCTCAGGTACGGCACACCTTCCAAGCGGGCAGTGGTTTGCCATGAGAGTCTCGATCTTCTCCGCTGGCCAGTCAGGCGAACCTCCTGGGATGTAATGCCAGGCGTTCTGTGTGAACATGTCCGACTTGATACCTCCTGGCGCGACACCGTTGACGGTGATACCGCGCTTTCCGAAGTCGGTTGCGAACGCCTTGATGAAACCGATGACGGCCATCTTCGAGGCGTTGTAGAGGGCGTGGTCCTTGACACCGAGAAGACCGGCAGCAATGGAGCTCATGAGGATGATGCGGCCGTTGTCCTCGATGTGCTTGTATGCGGTCTGGCCAACGAAGAATTGTGCTCTTGTGTTCAGGTTGAATACGTGGTCGTACTTCTCCTCGCTGATCTCCTCTGTTACATCCCAGCTCTCGGTTCCTGAGTTGCTCATGACGATGTTGATCTTGCCGAATGCCTTCTTCGCCTCCTCGAATAGTCTGTTGATCTCACTGACTTTGCTGACATCCGCCTTGATGGCTACGGCTTTGGCACCGTTGTTGAAGCCCTTGATGATTTCGCAAACCTCGTTCGCTGGGCCTTCGGATGAAACATAGTTGACGATGACGGAGGCGCCGCGCTTGCCGAGCTCGATAGCACAACCCCTTCCAATGCCGCGACCGGCACCGGTGATGAGAGCGACTTGTCCCTCGAGGGAGGCGGTGGGAACGCTGATAACCATTTTGATAATGTGTTGGTGTTTAGATGATTATGGGTCGGTGGATGATGGAATTGAGAGCTTCAAGGTAGGGAGCTTGAAGATGTTGAAGTGGTGGGTGAAGGTAGATTGGGTATATTGATTACCTCTCTCATCTTGCGCTGCCTCTTTATAAACATCTCGAGTGTTCAGTCTCAGCATTGAAACAAATGGTGTTCACGGTATGCGGGCGCGGGCGGGGATCCGAAGAAACGAACACCGAAAATAGCTGCTTCAGGGACCTGCGGCTCTACACCTTCGCGCCCGAAGCTCTGGTCGTTTTAGCTACACACAGCTAAACCTGCCGGTAGACTCTGCACTCCCGTTTCGAAATGTCGTGGATGAAGTGCCGGCTGTCGTGCGGACGTCGGAAGGGGGAGGGGCCATGGTTGACCCCCGAATGAGGGTGTTCAGATCTGCCATGGAGATGCGAGACGAAGTCCGGTTTCGCAAATACTTCTAATCATACTATCGACGTTGTTCATCGCGTTTACATTGCTCTCAGGTGCGACGTCGAAGTTCGAGTTTCTTCGCAGCTAAGCTCTGATCGTCGGCACGATGCAGGGCGCATCAGCGGATCTACCCATGGCGCAGGTACCACTGCCAGTTTGACGGACTTTGCCATTGCCCTGCAGCGTTCGCGGACGACGTTTGCAACCGTTCTGTCGAAGAAACGGCCATGCGAAAACAAATATGAAAGCGCAGAGGTGTTGACGCGAAGGATGAGGCGGTGACTGCCTGCCACGGGCTTCGGACTTATTGGTAGCGCACGTCACTGTCTGCCCCTCTGCATCTCCATCTCCAATCCACAACACAGCATCGCCAGAACCCGCTGCACTGTCCACATAAGCAATCATGCATATTCTTGTAAGACTGTCGGGTCTTACTAAGCCAATGGCAAGTACTGATCGATCTAGGTTACCAACGATGATGGCCCGCCATCAGACCAGTCCTCACCCTATGTACATTCGCTGGTGTCAACACTGCAGAAGCATGGACACACCGTTTCAGTCGTTCTCCCACATACCCAGCGGTCATGGATAGGCAAGGCACATCTTGTGGGCAAGTCGGTATGACACACCACTTCTACCACGACGCTCGTCATACTCATTACCACAGATACAACCGACGTACTACCGCCCTGCGCCCCTCCAAACCAACGCCGAAGGACGTCTCACGAACCATGGCACAACCCATAACTCGCCTCTACCACCCTCTTCTAATGAAGAAGAATGGGTGCTCGTCGACTCCACACCCGCATCCTGCGTACAGATCGGCCTCTACCACTACTTCTCCGACCGCGGCCCAATCGATCTCGTAGTCAGCGGCCCGAACTACGGTCGCAACAGCACCGCCATCTTCTCTCTGTCATCGGGCACAATAGGCGGCGCGATGGAGGCAGCAGTATGCGGCATGAAGTCCATCGCCCTCTCGTACGCGTTCTTCGACCGCAACCACGACGCTAAGATCATCAGCGACGCGAGCGAGCTCAGCGCAAAACTCATACAACACCTGTGGGACAACTGGGACACAAACACACACCTCTACACAGTCAACGTACCGTTGGTCGAGAACGTGGGAGAGCGCAAGATTCTCTGGACGAACATGCTGCAGAACTCGTGGAAGAGCGGAAGCTGTTTCCAGGTCGTCGAAGTACCCTCCGAAGCAGACGACACGCCATCAGACATCGAGGGTCAGATCCGCAAGCAAGAGGAGAAGTTTGGGAAGAAGGAGCTCAAGGCGAATTCGGAGATACAGGGTGGAGCGTCTGGCACGGACAGTGGACGGGAGACGCCTTCGGGTCAGGCGCATATGCGGTATACACACAAGCACTTCAAATGGGCGCCGACGTTCAAGGACGTATATGAGAGTGTTGAGGCCAGCGAGCCGGGCAACGATGGGTGGGCGGTCGCGCAGGGGTATACAAGTGTGACTCCGTTGCGTGCGAACTTCATGCATGTGAATGGGTTCGAGGGAGAGATCAAGCTGGGTAGTGGCTCTTCGTAGACTCATATCTCTGATGACAATGACTAGGAAGTGGATATGTGAGTGTCTCTAGATAGCCACAGGCCGCTCAGACCCCAGAGTCACCGTTCTGATTCACAGCTATGAGTACACACGCCGATCACATCATAATGTACTGTACAGTCAGTGCAAGTATTTAAAAAGATCAAACGCAGCGTAGCTTTTCAACCATAAGAGAACTTCGAAAAGACATCTATTTAATATTACAGCGCCCCAGCAATCAAGCTATACTTACCTGTACGATATGACAGGGTCCATTGCTTCTTCATCTTCTGACGAGCATCTTGTTGCTCGACGGCGACCTTACCATATCGAAGAAGCTAGGAAGCTGGCCGACCTTCGCTCAAGAAGCTACAAGGACATCGTGTCCGACACCATACACCCCCCCGACGGATCAGAAGATATCACCACAGAGAGAATATTACCACGCAATGTTACATGGAGGGAAGACTACAAAATGTTTCAAGCTTGGGCAGAAAAAACAAGCCTGACTCGTTGCAAAACCGCAGGCAAAGATACCTACTATTGTACAACCTCTGAGCACGATTTTCGCAATGTCGAACCTGCCAACCAGGCTTTGATTGTTCGTGCTCTGGAAAGAATGGGAGCTGGAATATGGCACATGAACAACGAGCAGATAGCGCATGAATTAAATATGCACGAACGCTACTACATCGAGTCAACATCAGATCCACGAGAGGTTAAGATGAAGATCTTCAACATGAGGCCGTTCCTTGAAGGTCTGGAGGAATTGATCAAACCGATGGAGAGCTTCAGTATCAAGACAATGTACCTGCGCTGTCGTACCACCTACGAGACGGTCTTGCACAATTTCGACGAAACAAGTCAGCTGATACACAATGAATCGTTACCCGAAGCTGCCGTACGCCGATATAATGACCTAAACGACTGGGCGGAAGATACAGGGGCAACTTTAGAAGGCGAAGCCTCTCTTGACTTTAAACTTAGCACAGAACCTGAGTTAAAGGACGAGGTCTTAGATCTGTATCATCGCATCGATTCGGAGCTGAAGTACATGATTATGATTTTGGAGAAAGAGGACACTCTAGGAGATGAACCGCCGGACTTGATATCAGATTCGGAGTCGGACCCAGAACCAGACTATGATCCAGACGTCGTTTTGCCAACTGACTTTTCATCATGGACAAAGGTTGAACGAACTTTCCACTGGGTCAGCCAAGCCCATGCTGGCCTTCGCGTGTTAGCTGAGGCCCAGAATTGGTCCGCTGGACCAAGCGCTTCATGAAGCCTGCACGCGTGGCATAAAAGCGAGTGTCGCCATGAAGGATCTGTTGGGAGGAATACTCGGTTTAGAATTCTCACATGCCGAGAGTGGGGGACTTTCACAGTGACTTTCCATTGTATGGAGGCATGGGTTGAGGAGAGGATCATCAGTGATGGACATAATCGTGTATCTGTGATGGATTTTGTAAATAATAAACGACAGCTGCAGGTAACTCGAATACATATTAAGTAGTCTGAGAAAGAAATCAAGCCGTGTTGCTCATCGTAGAGTTTGACACGACAATGCCATAATGCGAAAAGTAGCCATGACGAGGTCGATGAGTCGTTACTAGATGATTGCGCAGTGCTATACTCTTGGACTCACGCTCGTGGTCCATGGCTACTGAGTCTACAGGGTGGTCATACATACTTACTGCACAGTCATCGTAGGTATTTAAGAGGATGAATAGCGGCATAGACTTTCCGCTCTCACCAATAATTCCGAAAGACATCTTTCTACAATGGCTCGCTCTCCGCAACCGCGTCGAATTAACTCGTACGACAAAGCGGGTTATAAAGATAAGTATCAATACCAAGCTAGGGAAAAGATTCGGTCAACGCCCCCGAAGACGGAGAGAACGGTTCAGATGAGCAGGCCCGAGCCGACTGTGAGCGAAGCATCGAGCACTGAAACAGACGATACGAACCGCACTATCATAACGGTGTATGAATGCTGTTTAGCCGCCTATGGGAAGATTTGGGGCAACATCGACAACCTGGATAAGACGATAGATAGCGATGAGACGATAAATTGCGAACCGACACTCGAAGCTATTGGGCGCCTGTGTATAGATCTAATCACATGGGCGAAACTAGCTAGAGTATGTCTAGCAGGGACAGCCTCTCTTGACTACAAACTTCGCGCAAGTCCTACATTGAGAAAGCAGGTTATAAAGCCACTCCTCGAAATCGAAGCTGTGCTACGAAAGATGACGGAAATCGCGCAAGAAAAGGCTGCCCCAGGAGAAATGCTGGTCTCAGGATCGGCCCATATCCCTACAACAGAAGACGGTTCTTCAAGCCGTCAACATCTCGAACAAGCTTTCGACTTGCTTGCCGACAGCCATGGTCGTCTTGTGTTTTAGATGACGCGCAGAAATGGTCCGCCAAACCAGGTGCCACCTGAAGCCTTGACGCAGGAAACAGATGCGAGTGTCTCCATGAACATCTTTCACTGGCGACGTTCATGCATGCGGAACGCTCGAGATGGAGCTCAAAGCGGGTAGTGACTTGTCATAATCTCATGTTATGATTCATATCTTACCAGTCACTACATGAGTCTTGATGAACAGTCGCAACATGTACTTCAAAGGCCAGAACCGATACACATTTACTTCTTTTCCTCATACACATATCTTTACGAGCTAGGTCTGTAGCGACAACTCAAATACCTGCCTTCACAGCAGCAGCCTCATTCCGCCACGTCGAGTATCGAGACCATCGCGGGGCTGAATCAGACCGAGATATCGATCATGGCAACGACGCAGTCAAAAGACAGAACCCACAGTCCATCTTCAGGCCAATTCGCCGACAACACCCAAAAGTCTAGCGTGAGCGACGATATCGTTAAAGCCCTTCGTCGATGCAACAGGAACTCTGTGAAACTCCTTGGCAGACTCTCTGAAGTAGAGAAGCTGGAGAGTGAGCAAACACAGGAGACTCCACCTGCTGGGGCCATCGAAGCTCCACAACTTAACATACCGAATACACTAACGGCCACCGAAGCTCAGCGCATCATTGTGCTTGTACCACCAAAAGAGATCTTCGACCAATGCTTCGTCCTGAGAGAATGGGCTAGTCGGAACGAATCGTACCTGCATGACGGTTGCCGTGTCGGACGCAAGGCTGTAAAGTGTAAAGTGCCCGAGAAAGAAAGCAAATGGACAAGCAGCCAACGAGAGAAGATATCTGACGTGCGGAGCGCAATCCTCCAGATACTCCGCTTCATCGACAACAGCTTGACCGACACGATGAGGATCGCGGCAGGACGCAAGGAATGGGGAGGAGAATGGGGTCCAGAATCAGACTGGGATGGGGAGGTGCTAAAGCTCAGGCACATGACCAATAATCTGAGTAGATACAATCGTATTCTTTGGCGGCTGACGGAAACGGTTGGGGATCGCGGACCGGAGAATTACGGGGCTACCGCGCATGCTGATGGGTATCCTCGCGAGCATCGTGGGCCTCTGGATCGCGAGTTGCGGAAAAAGAATGCAGCTAAACAAGATGTTCGTAAGGCTGCTGAGGAATCGCGCAAGAAGGAGCTTGTTAAAGAATCGAATGAAGAGAGTTTGACTGGAGAAACTATTCCCGAGATGTTGACAAGGCGTTTTGATGAGCGCGATGGTGAGTTGGAGGGGAAGAATGCAGCTAAAGAAAGTACTCACAACAAGGACTTTGATAAGAGATTAGTGGAAAAGACCACAGCTAAAGAAGAACCTTGTACGGTTATTTGGAGAGGTCGCGAGACGGATCTTGAGGAGGGATCAAGTGCAAAGAGCGCAGCCAAAGAGAATGTTGGCGCGGAAGTTCGAACGCATCACATCGAAGGTCTCGATCAAGGATTGGAAAAGTGGAGCCAAGCCGACGGAGATGCTTCCACGCTCGTTGAAGCTACTCATAGCGAGTCTCCCAATAAGGTACCGAGGCAAAAAGCTGACCTGAAGAAGGTGATGACACAAACGCTCCGAAGCATCATTCCAGTAGGCTCGACCAAGGGACGAAGGTCGGGCTAAAGAAGGCCGTTGTTCAGATGTTGCTAAAGCTCCTGAAGAAGATCTCGGGAAAGAAGCGGTCGGAGCGGAACGCCACACGGAACGGGTCAGCAGCTAGATGAGAATGGTTGGCCGTGTTGTTATAATGGTTGTGGTATACAAACTTCAATTCAATGTCTCACAATTACCTCCTGGTATATGCTGGGGTATCAAAATGCTTCCAGTACGCCGTGGTCTTAATGCCGTGAGCCCGCCCATATCCTGCAATGCCGTGCAAGCACTATCCAGTGCTGCAATTCTGGGAACCAACGCCGTATATGCAAGGCCGATTACTACTCGAAATTGAAGAAAGCGTCGTCGAATTGTGACTGCTCGGGGTTCTCGTACTCGTCCATGTTGAAGAGGTCCTCGAGGTTATCCGTGGTCATGGTGTCCATCATCTCGTCGTTGGTAGTTGTGACCGGCTCTTCCTTCTTCTCCTCGACCGGCGGCTGTTCGGTGGGTTTTGGCTCCTCGGCCTTTGCAGGCTCGGGCTCTGGTTCCGCTGGCTTCGCGGCCGTCGCATTGTCGCTCGTATTCGCGGTCGTATCGGTGGTCATATCCAAGCCTGGCAGGTCTGGCATGGTAAAGTCAATGTCCATGGCCGAGGCTTGGTTCGCGTCGTCATCGCTGTCCTTGGCAAAGTCTTCGAGACCGCGTAGTAGCGATGGTCCGTCGTTGCCGTCATCGAGGTTAAAGTCCATGTCGCCCGAGGTATCCATCATGTCGTGATGCGAGTTGTCGCCAGATGTGTCCATCGCGTCGCCGAACATGGCATCGAAGTCGAACTCGGACTCTTGCGCGTTGCCGGTGGTGGGCGTGCCGTCGAAGAGGGGGTCTTTCGGAGGCTCGACGTCGGTCTCGATGGGCGGCGGCGGCGGTGCTTTCGCGTCTTTCGCGTCATCTTCTTTCTTCGGGGGTTCTTCTGCCTCGGGCTCCTTTGCGCTCGCTGCCTCGGGCACCTGTTCTGGTTGCGACACGGCTGGCTCGGGCGCTGCTGGTGTCGCAGCCTTTTCCACCTTCACAGGCTCTTCCTCAACTGGCGCCGGGACGTTCTTCGCCTCTGCTGCCAGTCGCGCCTTCTCGACCTCGTGCTGCTTTGCTGCGGCCTCCTTCTTCTTTCGGTCCTGCTTGAGCAGCGCCATGTCGCGGCGCAGGACAGTCTGCGCCAGGCGGACCTCGTTCTCAAGCTCGTCTAGCGCATCGTGAAAGCGCTCAGTAGCAGAGGGCACGACCTTTTGCAGCTGCTGCCTCATGCGCCCGGTGCCGCCGCCCGCCTGCTCCTCTTTGAGAAAGCGCCCAGAATGGAGGAACTATGCATGTTAGCGCGATCGCAGAAGCAGACACGTGACCGGACATACCACAGCATTGAGCATGCTCTGGAGCATGTCCAGGTGCTGAGTGGAGTTTACGGCGGTGGCCATGATGGGCATGCAGGTGCTAGGTAAAGGTACGGCCGTGTGTCAGTGATGGGTTCGGCGCGGGACTGAGAGAGGGTCCGCTAGCAGGCTGGGCTAGCGGCAGTACGGTACTACGTTCATAGCTCCCGCTCCTTCGGGTGCCTTGTGGCCTGCGGCGCTAATTCTTCGAACTCGCCCGCTCACCTCTCACACCTCTCCTTCTTCACCCCACAGTGGAGATTATAGCTTTGCCGTCACAGCTCGGCGCAGCGCTCGTCTCTCCTATCTCTCTTCCTCTTGTTTTCCCTTGCCTTTCCTAGTGCTGTCCGCTCTCTATTGGTAGCCTTAGTCGCGCTTTCCATACTGACTTTCCTTGCCGCCTACCCAGCTGCCACCACCCCGCCCGCCAGCCTCGACCTCCCCGTGGCCTTGTCGCCCTGACCGTCGCATCACCGCCGACGTCTTCGATACCCGCCGCCGCCAATTGCGCCTCTTGCGACTCTAGTTTTGTGCGCATTCCCGCGACGACAGCAATGGCCGACCAACAAAACCCCGGGGCACAGCTGCCTCCTCCCCCTTCCGCTGGCGCTCCCGGCTACGAGAACCAGGGCCAGCCGCAGCAGCACATGCCGCCGCCGCCGCTTGCACCCGTCATTATCCCCCAGAACAACAACCCCATCCCGACCGCCATCAGCTCGCCCATGTCGGGCAACCCCATGAGCCCGACCAGCGGCCAGCCTGGCTACGTCCCCCGTCGCGCCGCCCCCGAGCCCAACAAGCGGGCGCTATATGTTGGTGGACTGGACCCG